TCCCAGTATCTCCTCCTTTAGGGACGAATCATCGGGAACACATAGCTTCTCCCCATATCTCAACTCTCCATTCTTCCAAGACCATCCTTCAATCGCCTCTCCATTCTCCAATCGGGCTCTAATCCAATCGAGTTCCGAATCCAGGCATTGCAACTCCACTACCCGTCGCCGAAGCGTCGGTTGAGCTACAAGGTTGAATAGATATGGTTGATACTCCGGTCCATCCACCCATAGATCGTACTCCTCCAATGCATCAATCATTTTCTACCTATTTACCGCAAGAAAATTGATTTCACCCCAAGACTTCCTGCTAAGAGCGTCGGCAACTACATTGGCCTTCCCCGGATGGTAGTTGAGCGTGAACTCATAATCTTCCAAGTACTCAATCCACCTTCTCTGTCGAAGATTCAAGTCTTTCTGTGTAAAGATATACTTGAGGTTTTATGGTTCAAGAACACTTGAAATTTCTCCCCGTATAAATAATATCTCCATAACTTAAGAGCAAACACCACCGCAGTCAGCTCCAAGTCGTGTGTGGGATAATTCTGCTCATGCACCTTGAGTTGCCTCGAGCCATACGCCACTACCTTCCCTCCTTGCATTAGAACGCATCCCAAGCCTCGTAGTGAAGCATCGGTGTAGACATCGTAGCCTTCCCCACTGCTCGAAATAATAAGGATAGGTGTCGTCGTCAACTTCTTCTTCAAGGTGCGAAAAGCTAGTTCACATGCTTGAGTCCACAAAAATTTCTCCCCCTTTTTTGTAAGGCGAGTCATCGGCATCGCAAGCTTGGAGAACCCTTCCACAAACCTACGATAATAGCCGGTTAACCCCAAGAAACTTCGTACTTTCATTACGTTCTTCGGTGGTTCCCATTTCATCACGGTCTCAATCTTTGCGGGATCAACCGCTACTCCTTGCTCGGACATAACATGGCCAAGGAACTTCACTTCCTTCATCCAAAACTCACACTTGCTCATCTTCGCATATAACTTATGTTCTCTCAATGTTTGTAGCACAATAGAGAGATGACGAGCATGTTCCTCCTGAGTCTGTGAGTAAATCAATATGTCATCAATAAACACAATGACAAATTGATCGAGGTAAGGCTGGAAGACTCTGTGCATCAAATCCATGAAGGCTGCGGGAGCATTAGTCAATTCGAACGGCATCACCATATACTAGAAATGACCATACCGGGTACGGAAAACAGTCTTAGAAATATCCTCCTCTTTAATCCACAGCTGATGATACCCCATGCGAAGATCAATCTTAGAGTAATACTTTAAACCCTTCAACTGGTCAAATAAGTCATCAATTCTCGACAACGGATACTTATTCTTCACGATAACTCGATTCAACCTCCGATAATCCATGCACAAGCGTAGAGTCTCATCTGTTTTCTTCACAAAGAGGACTGGGGCTCCCCAAGGTGAAGTGCTTAGACGGATAAACCCAATCGCTAACAAGTGATCCAACTACTTCCTTAGCTCCTTCAACTCCAAAGGTGCCATCCGGTAGGGAGCAATGGATATGGGTTCAATTTCTGGATAGAGATCGATCTTGAACTCAATTTCCCTATGTGGCGGTAATCCGAATAATTCTTCGGGAAAAACATTTAGAAACTCCGATACAATTAACATTACATCCGTATGGATTTTATCCCTGTCATCTCCCATCAAGCTAGTTAAGAAACTCAAATGACTTCCCAATTTCACTTTTAAGAATCTACTACTCGTAGTAGGAAATAGATGAGAAGAATCTCAGTTATTCACAAAACTGAAAACAACTCCTCCCGATAACTGAAATATAATCCGCTTGTGAAAACAATCCATTACTGCCTGAAAAGCGAACAACAAGTTCATCCCGAATATTACATCATACCCCTTTATCTCTAAAGCAATCAAATTCACAATCAATTCGTGCTCCCCAATGCGAAGCACGCAACCCTTGCAAACTCGGCTAGTATCTAACCGTTCTCCCATGGGCAAGCTAATGTTTATAACCTGCTCTAACTTCGCGAAACTCAATTCCAAATTAAGTGCATATGTCGTGCGTACAAATGAGTGTGTTGCACCGGGGTCAAACAATATTCGGGCTCAAGAATTGTAAATAAGGATGATACATTCCACAACAGCATTGGCAATGTCCTCCTCCGGCTGAGTCAAAGCAAATACTCGCCCTTGGTTGGCGCCAATGGGGGCTTGAGCTTGTATCGGTCGTTGCGGTGCAGGCCTCGGTGGTGGTGGTTGGGCTGCTGGTACCTGTCTGGCGGTCTGGATAAGCCCCTAAGGTGGAAAAATTGGGTAATGCATCCGAATATGTCCCACACCTTCGCATGTAAAGCAAGATCGTGAGGTAATACCGGCTCTAGTCTGAGTGTTTCCCTCTCCTCGGGCTGTCAAAAGTCGATGTCCACCTGTCTGGTCTAGGCGACGGTATGGTGTCGGTCTCTGTGCCCCACTAGTGTTAGCACCCGTCCGGATCAAATCTCATCTCGAGAAGCCCTGTCATCGCTGGCTATCCTCTATGTCTCTCTTTACCAGTGCAGCTCTGTCCACCAAGTCCCCAAAATCACAGATCCTGAGAGCCACCAATTTTTCCCTGATGATCGGCCTCAGACACTGCTCGAAGCGCTTGGCCCTGTCGGCCTCGTTAGATATAAATCCCGTAGCATAACGGGAAAGCTCGTCGAACCGCCTCTCATACTCAGCCACGGTCATACTACCCTGTCGTAGTGCAAGAAAATTCGCCTTCATTCGGTCTCTAACCGATTCAGGAAAGTACTTATCTTGAAAAAGTTGATCAAACTCTTCCCAAGTGAGTGTGTCGGTGTCCCTTCTCCTCTTTATGGCATCCCACTAATAGTCGGCCTCCCCCTCAAACAGGTAGGTCGCCAAACTAACTCTCAACTCCTCGGCAACTCACATGCCGTCACAGATCTTCTTCACTCGACGGATCCATCTATCCGCCTCTGGGTGGTCATTGTCTTAAGAATTTTCGAAGAGCTATCATCCTTTGGTCTCCGTTCCCATTGCCGGATACTTGAGCGAGAGGATGAGCTCCACCATTGTGGTTGTTGTTACCATTTTGGTTTTGTACCAAAGTGGTGAGCTCCCTCAAGCAGCCAACCTCTTGGATTGGGCTGCTCGGCTCGTAGTATAAATGCTCGGCTTGTGGCCGACCATTTACACCATTCCCCTAGCATTCAATTAGAGGAGGTGTAAAGGGAAAGCATTCACAGCACGAGGGATGGTGTGTCAGATGTGAGATGTCCAAATGAGACTGAAGATCTACAACAATCATTGTTAATTCAGGTATAAATATCCCTCAGAAAAATGGACAAAGGTACGCAAAATCAAACCAGAGCACATCTACTAAGAAATAGCCCTTCGATCTTACTGACTTAAGCTTCGGAGGGGATCCGCCGGGCTCACGCCTGGCCCCCTTTCTTCTAACCCCGTCTTTTCAGGTTCACCAATCAAGGGATCGCTACTTTACAAGATTGCATGAATTATCCCAGGCAATATATATACATATATCTAAGGAAAAACACTGACCAGGAGCGAGAGAGACAAAGTGGGTTTCGTCTTCGGCTTCGATTTCATCTTCCATTTTTGAGCGTTTTCGATTTGATCTTCGGTTTCAGAAGAGACACCATCGAGAGAGATCGAGAGAGAGACAGACAAATGAGAGAAAGGGGGAAAAAAAGGAAAAGGACTTTTATATACTGCCAACAAAAAGTCTTCAATTTTGGTGTTAACAAGATTCGAAGGCCATACTTCATTTAACATAGGCGCGTGTCTTTTTTTTTTTTTTGATGTTTTCAAAAACATCATTTCTTATGTTTTCATATTTTGACATTGTTTTCAAAACAACAACGTAAAAAAAAACAAAACACATCCCAAACATGTTATTATTAGTTTTTGTTAGCAAAAAAAAAAACAAAAAACAAAAAAAGAACACACCCCGTCGCCAAACACTGCCTAAATGTATTGAGATCCCATTTTTTCTCCAATTACGTGTTTGATAGATCATAGCTATCAATCATTCAAGTGCATCACTCACTTGTTAATGATGGATGATTCATTAAGAATGAAAATTGAAGAAAAAAATATTGGAGGGAAGTAATCCAAATTAAATTCTCACATTATGTCCTCAATTAAATCCTCATGGACAGAGACATTGAGAGTAGAACTGATAATTGAGTCAAGTTGCTCAAACTCGACTCAAAGAGAGATCAATTTGAACTCGACTTGTGTTTTAATGAAGCTGAGTGTAAATAATTTTTTAAGATTATTTAGAAAACTAACTTAAAATGATATGTTCTAAGTCGCAATATTCGACTCATTTATATATAAAATAGTCGAACTACTTAAACTTAGCTTGAGTTTGACTATTTTTGGGCTAGACTTATGCTTAAACGAATCAAACTTAAATAACTTTTTAGACTTATATAAAAAACAAACTCGACAAAATCGACTTGATTATCAACCAGTTGGATCAGCCATTGACTATTCGGCCTAGTTAGCCCGGCCCGATGTTGAAAAAACTTTATGCTGGAGGGTCTTTCACACCCTTTTTTCCTTTTTGGGTAAAACATACACAACATCATACACCCAAATTCCCAACTTACACGACAAAAGGCAGCTAAATAGAGACTAGTTGGATACCTTTTGGGCATCAATCAAAGAAAAGAAAGAGGAGTCGTCTAGAAAATGCAAATAATTTCGTTACTCGCTTATGAGTAGAGGATTGGCCACATTTGATTCAAGAACTAAAGCAATCAATATCATCAAATAGAAAAATGGTTGCCCACTCAACGCACATTAGTAAAAAAACAGCTAACTGAGAATCCGCTTTTCCTAAACCACCTATCAGTTTTCCTCTCTTTGCCTCTAAATGTGAACACATTTGACTGATGAAATCTAAAGAATATTACACATTATACTCGCATCAAATCAATTGATTAAGCAGAACTTTAATCTATATCAAAATCATTACAAAAACAAAGACATCTCAGGGGTTGGGATGAAGGAGAAAATGCTTTCACCAAACATTTCAAACAATGAAACAAGAAGATTCCCAGAATTCAGGTCATCTTTCCAAACCTGGTTGAGAACAACTGACGTCATCCTTAAAGCTTGATTATCACCCTTATCTCCTCTTCCTCTACTAACCAAAACACTCGCATTAGGTATCTGGCTAGAAGAAGATGATGGGCCTGCATCAGAATCCCCTAAAGCAGCAGCACTTCTCGTTTCTCCTTGCATTTCAGAATGTAAGGAGTTGTTCGGAGTTAGTGGGCTATCAGTAACAACCTTCTTGAGGGGAGGCTGCTGCTCCAATTGCTCCACACTTGCCTTGCGTTTATCTTGATTGATTAGAAGTAAAAAACAGGGTCAGAAAAAAAGAAACTTCATCATTGACTTAGCAACAAATGCTTGCAAAGGTATGTAGCTCGGGGATTTAGATCGAGGTTGGCTCTGATCAGGTGTTAGTATTACCAAAAACATTATGCCACATCACAAGGTGAGGGTATTTCTAGCTTCCCAGAAAGGAAAAAAAAAAGGGCGGGAGGGGGTAAATTGCACCAGTGATCCCTAAGGTTTACCACTTATTGAACTTTTATCCCTAAAGTTCCAATGTAGACAGTTTAGTCCTCAATGTTTACACATTGGGTCAATGTGGTCACTCACCTTAAATGTCCTCCAAATAGATGACGGAAAAATGCACGAGAACGTGACAGATGGGATTTAAGTCATTTCCCTCTTTTTCCGCCCATTCAACCAACATCTGCCCCCCTAATATGTATATGATAAATGGCTGATATGAACCCTAATCTTTAACAGAATAAACAGAGGAAGACACTTGGGGGAGGCAAAAGAAGCTGGATGGAAGAGAGAAAGGACGCCAAAAGGCTGAACAAGATCCACATGGATCACACGTACTGCAACTGGGGGAGCAAACAAATTTTAACTTGTTGGATAGATTTAAATCCATGTAGAAGATTCCTTGGATGCGAGAGAAATGAGGTAAATTATATGAATTGTTTGATTATATGCAAAAATATCTGTTCATCAAACTTGTGTTGGTATATGCAGAGAAACGGCAGATGTGGCTAATTTGTCTAGTATGATCCTCCTACGTGTATGCGTTCGAAAAATATCATATCATACCTGGTTACTTTGGAGAATCACAATGATAAAAGGGCAGTTGGCCAGATCTCAACGCATAGAGAAGGTTCTGTGGATGTTGCTAATATTGACTGTGTTCATATCTTCCTCTGTTTTGCGCACTTAGAAATCAGGGTTCGTACCAGCCATATATTATACATGTATTAGGGGGGGGCATATATTGTTTGAATAGGCAGAAAAATGGGGGGGAATTACCCAAATGTCCCTCTCTCACATTCACATGCTGTGCACATGCTGCTTTCCGCAATTATCATATGGAAGCACCCCACCATACGATGATATGGACCACAATGTGTTTGCTAACCAGAAAAATTAGAGAGATAAAACATGTGACTTGCAAGCATGAAAAATAAGCTCAATGTATATTTGTGAGCCTATGTGGCAATTTGCTGGTGTTTTTGTTGACTCAGCCAATTACCAAGAATTCCCAGCCCACATGTCACGTTTAGTCGGTTTTATAAAGGGCAAAGCTTCTTGGTGATCGTTAAGCTATATAAAGTACACCTACTTGTTGGGCTTGCAGTAACGACTCTTGCATTGTTCCTCCAGACAGCATGTGCATGAGGGGATGGTAAAAGTGGAAACATCTTGAGCCGATCATATATGCATTGACCCGCAGCATGCTGCAAAGTACATAGTTTTGTTACAACAGTTACATCCCCAACTTAAACCTCTCATCTCATAGAGTTCCACAAATATTGCTTATTAAGACATACTCACCAGCAAGGCCCCATATACACGCCAAGCTTCATGCCTTTTCATCTCATTCTTTTGCTTCTCGAGAAGCATCTCGGGTGCAAGGAGTTGAAGATATGTTTCCAGATTTGGTAGTATAAGAAGGCGAACCTGTCCCAAAGCCATGTATATGAAGTAGAAACAGGATCTAGACTCAAGAAATAAGATTATTCTGCATATATAGAGAGGATAACGGAAAGAGAAAAAAAAATATCAAGAAATAAGAATGTTCTAAGTGAAGTTATTTTTTCCATCAAGAAAAGTCAACATAGAAAGCATAAGCTCAGCAGCAAAGAGGGTATGGGTACAGAAAGCAAATTTGCATATGGAAATGTTTCTCCTGTTCATATGATGGAAAATATGGAATGGTGATCAAGACTCAGAGTTGAAGCAACCATTAGGAGATTGTAGCTGCCATGTGGGGTCATGCAGAGATAAAAGCAACGGAGCTGGAAAAAGTCATCTACCCTCACTCTTGGAGTAAACATTCCACGATAGCTCCGCTTCCTCATCTTGCTTCTAGGCAGATTACTTAAGTTTGCTCTTGGACTTGGAAGGCAAAATTGTTCTCTCTTTCCCTCACCTCTTATCTATATGTATGGGTATCTTCTTCATACACCCCTGCGATGTTGTTCCAGGTTCATCATCACACTAAGCTACCAAAAACCTGGATTGCTTTTGTGGGATTGAAGTGCCTCCAACTTTGCTGCCTTAGCAGGTGATTGTGGGCATACGAGTTTGGCTTTGTAACCACGAATGTTTCTCCATTATCCAAAAAACAAAACATTCTTTAGAAGATAATCTCCTTTCAGGAATCGCCTTTCAGGTTGAAAACTTTCTTGCCAATGCCAGCATATTCAGAAAAGGACACAATTTTTAAGCAAAAGCTTTAAAGGATCAGTGTTCTTACCAACCTTTTTTAGCACTTTCCATTATGCAAAACCCACAGAGGATATATCAAAAAACCTTCCCCTTCTCTATCCATCATTATCTCTTCTCATTTTACTAACTTGACCAAAAAATTAAATGGCTTTCCAGTAATCATTGAATAACAATCAATAAGCCTAGCAATAACAATGTGATGAAAATGGAAATAAAAGGCATGGAGGCTATGAACAATAAAATATTTAAACAACAACACAACTAATTCCAAATCAGCATTCATCAATGACAAATTTTTATTATGCCACAAGAAGCATAAAAGCAGAAAGTACCACATTAGGTCCTAGGGCCGCTAGTCCTTGGATGGCACCATAGTGTTGAGTCATTGCACGTTTTGGATCCAGAAATGCATGGAGCAAGGTTTTTGTCAAACGTGTCTGGAGATTATTATAAACATGCCCAAACCTGTCAAAGATCCAAAAATTATATATTCGAAAAGAGAAGAAAAAATTGAATGCTAGAATTTCTGAAAGGGTTCCAATGAGAAGGGCATCAAAAGAATTCCATCCTTTCTGTAAACATGTAAAAGGAAAAATTACTAGACTGACTGAGTGAAATATACATGTGTGCATGTGGGTGTCAGTATGTGCATTCCTCCCCCTCTTGGTACACAAACAACCGATCTGATTGAATCATGAGTTTGTGTGTGTGTGTGTGTGAGTTTGAGTGTGTGTATATATATATATATGTATTTATATACATATACATGTAGGGATATGTGGTGTGCAACAGGTTTGTGCTTGAACCAAATGTCCATTTGCCATTGAGAGTTCAATCACCTGATTGCCCCAAATCCCAAATAACTCGTACAAAAGGAAACCTAAAGCTATGTCACTAGCTTTACATATTATCTACCTCCAACACACTCGAAGTCAACATTATATGCAAAAATGTAGAAAATATATGTCCATACAATTGTATGATTGAAACAAGTAAATCTAGCAGTGAGCATCAGCACGAGGAATTGTACGTAGCAAGTAAAGTAGTATCTTAGAATCTTAGATTTATTCGCAAAAATAAGTTAATCATTTCCTGTGTACACAGAGAAGACAAATTATAGGTCTCACCTTTTGCATATCGTGGCAACCAGGTTTGCTGTGAAGTCTCTAAGTTCCCAGTGGTTGTCTGCCAATCGATTTCCTAATCGTTTTGCAACAAGACAGGTAACAACTGATGGCATCAACTGGTGTAGCTGATAAAGAAAGAATAAATTATCAGACAGGCAAGTGGCAACCCTTTATCAAAGTGGCATGACTATGTGCTTCTTTCTGTTGAGAAAATTTTTACGCTCGAGTAAATCCAACTGCAGAGTACCAGCAGAACAACTGGCTACGTAGTTAGGCCACTGGTACATGCAATGCCACTTCAGAGAAGAATGCAAATAATACCTGATGTTTTCACTTACGCACAAGTAATATGACCTTATCAGGTAGAATTCCACATTTTGCAAATTAATTATGAATATCTAGTACAAACACTCATAGTTTTGTTCAGTTTGTTCATAAGATTTTTGTTGTCATTACCCAGCATAAACTTTTAAAGTCATCTGTTAAATTATTACCAAGGACTCCCAGATCAGGATTGGACAATGTGATCAGAACAAGTCCAATGTTTAGCAGCTAATGTCATGCAACTATTATAGACTATTGGACTACAATGTAGGCTATATCCTTGCAGGACATCTTATATGAGGCCAAAGCAGCTAGTCCACCCTTGACAGTCATCACAGTAGGGACAATTTCCAAAACCAATATATCGATAAAGTGTTCAGGCATAGTGCTGTTATCATGTGCATTAACTGAGAACAAATAAATCAGTAACAGACTTACATAAGGTTCTATTTGCATATGTGGATTCTGGAGAAGACTCCACACAACACGCATCAATGCAAATAACAGCTTAAAATCATTCAACCCACGTGAAACCTGACAGTATTGGGAAGATAAAGGTTAATGTAACCAACAAAAGGCTACATAGTTCCGGAACTTATTCATTTTTGAAAATGTAAACTTAAAAGTACCTCGTCTGCAATGAAGCATGTGAAATAAGGGATTAAAGGATGGAGTCCTGAGTCTGTGGCCAAACTCACCAAGGCTTCCTTGAAAAGAACCGAATCAGACCTACTCACTGTAAGCTCAGTGATTTTGTCAAAGTAAAGCTGCACCAAGAAGGTGGTTATTTTGTTATATTTAATACTAAGTAAACAATTATTAGAAATATAAGGTAAATGAAGAAAACCACATACCTGAAGTTCCCTAGATAGCACATGCTTAACAGGTAATCTAATGTCAACAGGAAGTCCATCATCTTTTTGCTCAGGCTTTTTGGTCTCACAAGGAGCAGTAAGAACTGCAAATTTTATTTATTTTTTGGTAAGTAGAAATAACCATAAAATGTTGCACAAAGAATTCAAAGTTTGGGCCCTGCACTAGGGCTGTTAGAGAAGAAAATTAGTTCGTATTTGTCACACTTTTTTTTTTCGTATTTGTCGCACTAGCACCTGAAGTAAAAGAGTGAATCAATATATTTAATTAGGTTGATGTAAAAAATCACTGAACTATTATCCCATCCTAATATTATTTTGAGAAGATTACCATTTAGATTTTCAAAGAAGAATTGGCACAAGCAAAAAATCCCATTCTTAGACTTGGTCCTGAAAAGGTATCACTTATGTGATCCCACCACCAAATACTTCACACTCAAAGTGATTAATGAACAAGTGACTTGTACCATGACCAAGTAAAAGGCATGACCGCATGACATCCTCAATAAATATACAAACTTCAAGAGGTGATGTAATCCAACAGTCTTGATAATTATGAACTATAGTAGGTATCCGTAGGGGAGCAGAAATAGTGAGACACAACAACCACCAGCAAGACCTTCTGGTGTTTCCTTAAAGTTAGAAATGGACCTTCCACTGGAGCATTTTCTGGAATAGCAGGCTGTACACCTTCAATAGCCAGCCAGTGACAGGCAATTGAAGTCTCCAGCGGTGCTTTTGGTAAAGGAGCTTCAATAACCTATTTGTCAAAGAGGAGGAAAAAAAAAAAGAACAACAATAATTAAGTGCTCCAAATGTTTGTAACAGGGAGTCTACAAAATCAGTTTCTTACATCTTTAAAATCCACATCTTTGTCATCAATGTAAAACAGATCCTTGTGTCCAAGAGCTCTTCTGAAACGAAAAGGATCCCCAGAGGCGAAGCCATAAATTGGCTGAGGATATCATACAAAATTACAGATGAAGCAATAAATTGGCAGAGGATATCATACAAAATTACAGATGAAGAAACATTACCAAAGACTACTGAAAATTATCAATGTTGACAAAGAAACCCTTTTGAATCAATTCACTGTTAAACACTTTTCCACATCACATGCATTACGCCGTCAAAAGCTAAATATTTTGTTTTACAGGCTCACAATCTTATTCAGGCCCCTCAAGTGAGATTTGAGGCAGGGAGTTTATCTTTCATCCTTCCATTTTTACCTATGGAGTCTAAACAACCAAGACACAACAAAAAATAAAAAAATAAAAACTTATCAAGGATATTTGGCAGCCATATTCTGAATCCAAACAACTAGGAAACTAATCACTCAGCCTCTATAACTATGAATGTAGTCAAAGTACAAGGATAAAATAAAGAAGATACCCTAGTCTACACATCAATGTGTGTCACTGAAAAAAAAATTGAAATATATTTCATTTCTTCAGCCATATTTTAATTGCTTGTTTAAATTGTTTTCTTGGCAAGATTATCTGCACAACACTCACTTGTGGGATGACAATTCTATCAGTCAAATTTGCAGCTGATTGCTACGTTTCCTCACTGCTGGTTTTAACAAGTCGCAAGGTTCTAAAATTCATTTAATATCCTTCAGATGATTCCAGGTAATTTGATGGGTAATATATAGGAAAGCCAGAATAAACTACTCACAGATTTTTTCTTTACATCAGAATTTTTTAAAACTTTTTCCCTGAAAAAATTTCTACAATGCAATACAATAATCAGGACCTATGCAAATTTCCTGTTCTAACTAATAGTAGTGCATGTGTACTTCCTGAAGAGTACCCAAGACCAAAAAACTTGTCCAACTGCCACCATGTCAAAATTCTACTATGCTGGTGATTTGGCAAACAAAAAAATTTTGGACATACTTCATGACAAGTGTAGAATAAGGTAACCTTGATTAAGTTTGGGACAGAAGTTCTAAGAACAGAATTAATGTCAATAGACATTACAAAAACATACAAGTATAAGTCCAATTGGCATTAAAGACCTAGAGTGAATACAACCTGCAAAGTATGCTTGTGTAAAGTCTCTTTGTATTCAACCATACAACATTTAATAGGACCCAAAGGACAAATTAAGATGATAAACAAAGTACCATCATGAATGTATAGATAGAATATAATACCTATAGCGCAACACAGATGTGCTCTTCACACCATAATTGCATTTTTTATTAGAAATTTACCTCAACATTTCTTAAGTTGAGTGCACTATCAACATCGTCTGTTGTTAACGTAGTTCTCTTTGAATGATGCATACACTTTATTGCCTCCTGTAGTTTCACAGCAAGAAGTTCATTAGACCTTAAATTATCACATTAATTTAGGGGGGGAGGATAACATCTTTCCAATTTGCCGTATGTAACAGAAAAGCACCCAAAATCATCCCATTGGCAGGACAAAAAAAGAAATCATCTTCTCAATACTAAAGTGACTATGCAAGAATGGAAAAAGTATAAGAAAGTCACAAAATTTCAAAGTCACCTAATATCAACGCCTTTTTGTTTTCCTCCTAGAATAAAATGTAACAACTCTTGTGAGTTCTTCCAGAAGAACACAAAAACACTTCTTTGATATCAATAAATATAGATTATCGCTAGATGCATACAAAAGCACAGAGAGTGTAAAATGTATCTGAGTTATGGTGCCCATTATCCACTGGATTTGTTAGACAGGAAGACTGGGTATGAACTTCCATAAAAGCATAGGAATGACTGATTATGGTCTCATAATGTGATTGTTTGATGGAAAAACTAGTTATCTGTTTGGAACAAGGTAGTAAATGTGATAATTTATTAAAGATTTGATATTATGATATTAATGGAAGAATTTTGTTAATTTTTCCGGAAAATGATTAAAAATTGGAAGAGATAAAGTGAATAAAGAAGCACAGTTGAGGATGAGTTTCTGGAATGCGCGTCCAGACGGTGGAATACTTTGTGCCCGGACGGAGTTGGCAGAATGTGAAGATTGATGTGCTTGAAGAGGTGGAACACACTGCTAGGTGCGTCCGGACAGTTGAAAACACGCGTCCGGATGCGTGTCGCTAGAGTTGCCAACGCCAGCAGCAGAGTTGGATATCAATTAGATCTTTTCTAAAATAACAATATATATAGGAGGAGATAGTTGGGTGGAGGGTACCTTTTGCTTTAGTCTTTTTATTTTTGTTCTTCTGGTTTAACTTTGTCATGTCTGGTTAAGAGGTTTGACTAGGACTAGGGGAGAACCTCTCAATGAAGTACGGTATTGTTATTGACTTATTGGTTTAATGGTATGTGAAATTTGTTAATTTAACTTTTGATTCTTAGTAAAGTTTTTGCTCTGTAAAAATTCTTGAGTCATGGTGTCTTATACCTTGATTTCTTGAATATTCCCTGTGAGACAAATAACTAGTTATTCCTTACTTAAGTTAATTATAATTTATTTCTCATAATAATATAACTAGGGGATTGTGCAGTTAAATCAAGAATTTGATTGTTATGAGAGTTTGATTTATTGTAGACTCCGGGCACAATAAATACTTACAACCAGCAAACAATTTTTGATTTTTCTGGATAAATTTTTAGTTATAAACAGAGGTGTTTTCTCATTCTTATTGATAAATTTGGTGACGGGAGTCAGTTGACACTTGATTCTTGTCTAGGTTTGAAAACTAAGTCTTTAATCATTACTGTATAGATTTGAGAGGGTGTACCTAATACTCTAGTATTTTGCACACTGTTTTAATCAATTTATTCAATTATTCAAATTCAAGCGTTCTTCTTGAAAATTATTTTTTTTTACAAGATTATTAACAATTTAGTGTGGTGTCCATTTGTTTTCACAATTCTTTGAGTGTTCAACCTCGCTCTTCCGAGTCTATATTACTTTGCACAACCTGCGCTTGGGTTTACATATTTGAAGTTGTAGCAATGACTAAACTTCCTTAAGTTTCAGCTACAAAGTTGCAAACACTCTATGTCAATCATGAATAGCTCAAGCTTGATTGAATGATGAACTCAACAAGGGGCTTTGCTTAGTAGATGAATGGAACTCAAACATGGTTTTCAAGAAAATTTACTTAACAAAACAAATTAAAAAAAAAAAGGCCTAGCCTGCTTTCAATAAACAAGAAGTAAAACAGCAATTTTTTATTTTTTTTGTAGCTATTATAATAATATTAATATATCTTATAATTGTTGCATTGACACACAGGACACAACAAACATTCGAAAAAAAAAATTCTATGGCATTAAAATTGGGCACAAAAATACTTCATAAATTGTCCTTTAGCTTCTAAATTATAAATTAGGAGCCAATAAGGATTGACAATGATATGTTAAGAAGTTAAAAGCTGCCATTTACGAAGCCAAGCCCATAAGCTTGCCAACTTGACGAGCTTCTGACAAATTGAGCTCGAACCAAGATTCCTTGGTTTGTCTCAAGCTCGCCCCAAGTTCAAACATCATTTTTCCAGTGCAAGGCTCGTACATACATGCTAGTACTCAGCCCATCTCATTTGCAGCATCTATTTGAGCATATTATCATAAGAATTTTGACTATATGCTATTGATGCAAGTGATTAACAAAGTTGCAGTTCTGGTTGCCTACTTCACCGATGATGGTAGAAAACAATTTAAACCCATAATTATATTCTTGCTTAGGTATCAACTTCGTCTGTTCACAAGAGGACACCGGTGACCACAGTTGATATATGCAAGAGACAGGTTGAGGCAAATGCATGTGGTCTATATGCCATTTTTTTGGGATTTTTCATTAAATACACACGTTTTGGGATTTCAAAATTGAGAATGACACAACAATAACCTTTGAACAAATCATCGATTTCTGTGCACATCTCAATTATTCTCAGAATCCAAATCTGATCTAGTGGCATGGTACATCCACACCATATCATTTGTGATGGCTTTGGACAACAATATATAAGCATATCAGAGCTGAATTTACTTATTTTCTATGCCATTTTTTCCTTTACATCACCCGCGTTATATACAATACCAGGTTGTATGGGAGTATACCATTACAGAATCAATGCCTGTTGAAAAATGCAATGATGAATATTAGCAATTTTTTCAGATCAAATCCAATGTTTTCTCAATCAACAGCTTAGAGGCACCCGTTTGACACAGGCACCCGTTTGACACAGGCACAATCTCAAACTTACCTGCATTATCTCACGCATGCGATATTCAACATCAGGAGCAAGAGCGAGTGCGGCATCTGGAGACAAGTTATTAATTCCGATGCTTTGTGCTATGACCTCTACTGTCTCCTTAGGCACGATACTCATTTTCTTCTCTTTCCCACAATTTCATGAACCAAATGCCTTAAATATCTACACAATTCTGAAAAAAAATACAAGAACGTCTACTGAGGAAACCCAGCATGCCATCTCCATAAATTTGGAAATAAAATATGACTGATCAAAGTAAATAAAGAGTGGAATTTTTCGTACATGATAAAGGTAAGCATATCAATAGAGCTGCTTTTCAGTGTTCAAAATACAAACCATGGGCTTTGAAAACAAAGATAATCCAATATCAAAGCTATCTAATCCAACACATTAAATTTCTTGAGTTAGAACCCATATAGCGATTAAATTATTTAAGTAGTCTATTACTAGAAATCTCTTAGGCTCGTTAAATTAGATTCCACATTATGGGTCGGATTACTATTTCTTGTCACAATGGTAACAAGCAGAATAAATTTCATATTCTTTGACATGCACAAGGAAATTGAAATTTACTTCAAACCCTGGTAAACAAGAATGCCCAGTAATTTGACAAGTGTTCACTGTGAAATACAATATTTTTGATTGAAATATTAAGGATAGGAAATCCTCTGACTTCTCTCTAGCTTTCTCTCACTAAAAAGCGACAAGGAGAAGAAAGAAGCCATAGGCTTCATCAATCCATCTATCTCACCGTCGAGGCAGGATCTACTACAAATGGATGACAATCCACGAGAAATGCAGAAAATTTCCAAAGAGGAGGACCACCTTGAAAGAAGCACAAAGAAAGTCAAGGAACACCATGGGAATCTGGAGGATGCTGGAATGCTGATTGACCCAGGTGCCTCACTAGCACATCAGTCTCAAGATCTGGTATTGCAGGGAAAACCCCCTACTGAAGGTAAGAAACCACAGAGGAACTATAAGGAAGCGCTTATGGAAGATGATAACGCCATCTATTTTGACGTTGATAACTATGAAGAGGGTCCAGAGGAGATGGAGGAGGAAACTCAAGACGAGTCACCAGGAGAAAGGAATAGGCATACTATGATTGATACATCGGATGAGTTGTGCCCAAGTATTAACCTCCCCCCCAAAATGCTCCAGAGAATTAGAAACAGATGGAAAAAGGGCCTGCTGGTTAAGCTTCTGGGGAAAAGCATTGGATACAAGGTACTATGTATGAAGGTAAGAAATTTATGGAATCTCCAAGGAGATTTTGACACCATTGATCTTGATAATGGATTCTTTTTGTTCAAATTTCATGTTACAGAAGACTGCCATAGAGTTTTCTCTGGCAGTCCATGGATCATCATGAACCACTATCTTACAGTTAGAAAATGGAAGCCAGATTGCATACCATCAAGAGATACAGAAATTGCTACAGCTATCTAGTTAAGACTACCAAACTGCCTCTTGAATATTACGATGAAGCTATTCTGTTCCAAATTGCTAAAGCCCTAGGGAAACCAATCAAAGTGGACATTAAAACTGCAACAGCGGAGAGAGGAAGATTTGCTAGGATATTCGTTGAAAGGGATTTGAATAAACCACTTATTTCACACTATTGGTTAGGGGGAAGGCTATTCAAGGTGGAATACGAATGCATCCACTCCATTTGCTTTGCCTGCGGAAGAGTCGGCCATAAGGAGTTCCTCTGCTCCTATTCCACCGAAAAGAAGCCACCAACGGCCGCCAATGAGCATCGTCACTCAGCAGCAGTCCCTCACTCCACAGAACCTGCAATACCTGACACCAAAGAACAGTCGTCTGCAGAGCCAAACATTGCACACCAACCCCAGGAAGAGGACAAGAATTTTGGGCCTTGGATGATATCCCAACCCAGAAGAAGAAGATTCCAGCAACGGGGAACAAGTAATTAACTAACCCAAATAAATTTAAGGACCTTGAACTCATGTCTACTAATCCATCCGAGCTCCAAAACCACACTCAAGGCCTATATCGGTACAAATCTCAACCCAAAGGGAAAGAAGAGGAAACCCACCCTAGTAGAGGCCCAAGAATAGGCCATAGAAGACAACGTGACCAAGCAACACAGAAGGAAACAGCCCAAGGGAGGTCCCAGCCAACTGGAATGATCCAGTAAGCCCAATGGAAGGCTCAGCCTTCTGGAATGATCCAGGCAGCTGTCTCCTTAAGCTTAGTGCAAAGATCCAACGATATGCAGAATTCTTCAATAGTTGCAGTGAATCCAAGGGCTCAAACATCTTCAGGAAATCACATGGCATCTGAGAATGGAGCAGGTCCTCAACTCCAAGACTTCCCAGCCCTTTCCTCTCCTTAAGATACAGCTTCTCTGGATGTTCTCAAGAACAATATATCAAAGGATATCCACATGATACCGAAACCCCCTGATCAAGAACCTCTCAAGCGTACTCAGAATGGAGCCAAACCCCCTAAGGTACTTCAATCTGATCAACAATACCATAGATCTTGTATTCAGAGCGAGAGAGGAAAGCAAGTGGCTAACTACTACCAACTGGGAGATCAGGGAGATCCTTTTGAGGATAGAACCTTGCTCTGTCAGAACCTCGATCGACAGACTTACAATAATCTCCATGATGCCGGTAGTCACTCTCATCGACAGGAGGAATCAAGCCAGGATGGTATTGGGTTTTAGCGATGATGCTCTCCTTCCCCCTTTTTAATGAATCATTCTATGAAGATCTTAACATGGAACTGGAGAGGTGCAGGTAATGAAAGGTTCCGAAGGGCTTTTGATGATCTGTTTAGAGCACACAATCCGAATGTGGTGGCACTTATGGAAACCAAGATCCATAGTTCTCAAATGGGGAATTTTTTTGAACATTTTGGTCTCACAAGGTCAGAAAAAGTGGAATCATAAGGAAGAGCTGGAGGTATCTGGCTCCTTTGGGATCCCTCAAATGTCACAGTCCGTATCGAGGAAGCCACCTCTCAAGCCATTAATGCTCATATAGCACGTATTGATTTTAACAAGTGGCAGCTTTCAGTGGTTTATGGAAGTCCAAAATCAATGAACAGGGTTTATGGGATAATCCAAGCAGCACTGGTGATAATTATAATCACTCCTGGTTGGTGGCAGGTGACCTGAATGACTATGCAAACCAATCGGAGAGAAGAGGCAAGCGTTCGGGTCAAGATAATAGAACCAAAAAATTCAACGGTAGAGTAAACAGATGCAGCCTAATCGACATTGGTTGTAGTGGACCAAGACTAACGTGGAATAACAAATGAAAAGGGTTGGCTAATACAAAAATAAGCCTTGATCGTGCATTGGCTAACGTGGAATGGACCCTCCAATTTCCAGAAGCAACAGTCCGAAATCTACCGAGAACATACGCTGACCACTGCCCTCTCCTCATCCTTACTAAAGGTAACCCTACTAACTCTTCCTCCCTTAGACCCTTTAGGCTTGAGACAATGTGGTTATCTAAACCAAATTTTAGAAATGTTGTTGTCAATTCTTAGAACCAAGTCAACCATAAATTTACCATGGCAACTAAATCATTGAACATAATGCTAAAGAATGGTACAGAAGCAAATTTGGTGACATCTTTCAAAGGAAAAGAAGGGTTTTGGCCAGACTTGAAGGCATTCAAAAAGCACAAGACAATTTCTACTCTCATAACCTTGAAAGACTGGAAGTACATCTTTAAAACTGAATACCAGCACATCCTTGAGCAAGAGGAAACCCTCTGGCACCAAAAATCTAGATCGAATTGGATAAAGCTAGGTGATAGGAACACTAGATATTTCCATGTCTCCACAATTATGAGAAGGAAAAGGAACAGACCCCAATCTTTAAAAAATGACCAAGGAACTTGGGTTACGGAGAAAAATGAGATTCGAGAGGTAATTCAAACTTTTTATAAGAACCTTGTTGCGATTGAGAATTTCAACCATAGTGACCCCAACCAGTATAAACTACAAGCAAAATTGACCAAATTGATAAACAGATCCTTGAATCCCAGGTTATGGACTTTGAAATTAAAAAAGCTGTTTTTAGTATCAAATCTCACAAATCCCCAGGACCTAATGGACTTCAAGTTGTTTTTTACCAAAGATATTGGGAACTTAGTGTGTCAACAAATTAAAGATATCATAAGTAGTAAAAAGTGTCCAGGGGATATTAATAAAACTTGAATTTCTCTTATTCCTAAGATTGATAATCCCTCATTACCTTCGCAGTGTAGACCCATAAGCTTGTGCAATGTTAACTATAAAATTGGGTCTAAATTGCTGGTCTCAAGACTTAGACATTTTCTCGATAAACTTATCTCTCATTTCCAAAGCAGTTTTATCCCTGGGCGTCAGACCATTGATAATGTTATTGTCACTCAGGAAATTATTCACTCATTAAGGAGAAGAAAAGGCAAAAATGGAGGGATGGTTATTAAAATCGATCTTGAAAAAACTTATGATAGAGTAAGATGGCCTTTCCTTCACCAAACGTTGATTGATTTTAATTTTTCCCCATCTTGGATTGACTTGATTATGAGCTGTGTGACAAGGTCTTCCCTTTCGATCTTGTGGAATGGATCCCCTTTGGATCCTATAATCCCCAGAAGAGGACTTAGACAGGGCGACCCACTGTCACCTTATTTATTTACTCGGTGTATGGAGAAATTAGAGCAGATCATTCAAAATAAAATTGATAAGCATTTATGGAGAGACATCAAAACCTCTAGAAAAGGTCCTGTCATTACTCATCTTCTCTTTGTTGTGACATCATCCTCTTCTCTAGGGCTACGAATAAAGATTTTGACATGGTTAAAGCTATCTTGGAAGAGTTTTGTTCTATCACAAGTCAAAAAATAAGCATGTCAAAGTCTAAGTCTATTTCTCTCCTAATATTAATAAGAGTCAAGCATTGCATTTAGAGAGAAAAAGTGGCATCACATGCGCTGAAGACCAAGGAAAGTATCCAGGTATCCCTATCATTCATAAGAGACTTAGTAAGGATCACTATAACTCATTGATTGGTAATATTCAAAAGAAATTGAGTGGGTGGGGTGGAAAATTAAGAACCTATCATTGGCAGGGAGAAACACTCTTGT